TCATTGCTTACCGGAGCTGGTGTACCTTAAGGTGGTGTACTTTCTTCTTTTCTGTTTTCGTTCTTTTTGCATGATTCACCTTATTCTATTGAAACTAGTTTTATTCAGTATGCTGATGACCTGACGGTGTCTATTCCAGTTGACTCTCATTTAGAATGGTGTGAATTAAATGGATTCTTGTCTGCAACTGACCAATGGTCTCTCTCAAATGATCTCAAGTTGAACCCTTCTAAATGTCAGACTGTTAATTTTAGCCTCAGGAGTAAACAAGACGAACTTGTATGAGCTGCCTAAGTCTCATGATGCCTTTTGCATTGATGGTATTTATGCAGAAAGTAAATTGAGTGTTAACTATCTTGAATTGAATTTCACTTCTTATCTTTGTTGGTCATCTCATATCTTGTTGACTTGTAAAAGAGAATCTTTCGTTGAACGTATTACATGAAGAAACTGAGACTGTCTTGTATAACTCAGCCTTTACTCTTCTCCATTATTCTCCGCTGATCATTCTAGATCTTCTACAAAGGGGCTATGTTACAATATTGCTTAGGGCTTTGAAAGTCGTCAGTCAGTCGGGTGAGTGGTGTGCCTCTGACCCAACTGATTAACTCTGTAGTTGACAGACATTTAAATTCTAGCAAGCAACTAGCTACAACCATTTTAACTGATACTCAGCATCCACTTCATTCACAGCTGTCTCCATGTATCTCCTCATGATCGGAGGACGAGAAGAAACTACATCATACTGTAGGCTTATACGGCCATATACAAGAATTCGACTGTGCATTATCTGTTACTATTATTTTTCCCTTGAGTTCCTAGTGGAACATAGGGATTCAGTTGCATGTCTCCAGTACACACTCTTCTCTACAGTCTTTTCAACCTGACAGCACGACTGCCCACAGGCTTTCATTTCTTCCTCACTTGATCGCCTCCTGTCACCCTCGCCTCGGACACACAACTCGTCTTTTCCCACCTGGGTTCCATCCGAGGTCCTGGCACGTGATATCCCCAGTCGGCCTTCTCAGTGTATGCCCAATCCATCTCCACTTTCCCCTTCTGCCTGTTTGTTGGTTGGTTCGTTGTCAGAGTGAGTTCCTTGTTGTCTATTCTTTCTAGCCATCTGATCTTCAGTGTCAGTATCGAGTGAGTGTAGGCGTCAGCTGTTGATGAATATCTGTAGTATGTTGGAGGCGCTTTCCGTGAGGCGCCAAGTTTCTGAACCATACAGGAGCACTGACTTGACTGAATTAATGTTTAAAATCCGGATGTTGTTCACACTTTGTGCTGAGTGCAGTAGATCCCCACACTGGTTTCAGATTAATGAAAGCCTATCTTGCTTTTCCGAACCTAGTTTTGACATCCTCGTTTGTGCCGCCTGTTGTTGAAACGATGCTGCATGTGTAGGTAGGTAGGTAGGTAGGTAGGTGGTAGGTAGGTAGGTAGGTAGGTAGGTAGGTAGGTAGGTAGGTAGGTAGGTAAGTAGGTAGGTAGGTAGGTAGGTAGGTAGGTAGGTAGGTAGGTAGGTAGGTAGGTAGGTAGGTAGGTAGGTAGGTAGGTAGGTAGGTAGGTAGGTAGGTAGGTAAGTAGGTAAGTAGGTAGGTAGGTAGGTAGGTAGGTAGGTAGGTAGGTAGGTAGGTAGGTAGGTAGGTAGGTAGGTAGGTAGGTAGGTAGGTAGGTAGGTAGGTAGGTAGGTAGGTAGGTAGGTAGGTTAAACAGACTATTTCCTTTAGGTTTCTCCAGTTGACGGGGATTATTGTTGATGCTGTTGTCTGTTGGGTATCTATCTTCTCTACATTCATTTGAAGTCCCGCTTTCTCTGGCGTACCTTATCCTCATGTAATATGTGTTCCTTATCTAGGACGCATATTATATAAGAAAGCGGCTATTAGGGCAGAACTCACATATTAACTTTGTAACAGTTAACAATCTCATTTCAATAATTTAATTAACGATGTAACATGTTCTCCTTATTCATATTCTTTACAATAATTAAATCTTTATAATAAGACAATTTGTATTGCGGTAAGGAAGGATATACATACATATACACTTTGTTGTTGTTATGATACACTATGCTCAGAACTCCAAATTGTTCGAAAAACTGTTTGGAATACAGTGAATTATTATTATTTTCAGACTATTCCTTCAGTGAGAACAGAAAACTTTGAAATATTCAAGATAAGCATCAAGTCCTAATCAAGGAAATTAGAACCCTCAGTGATACGATCGAAGGGTTTAACTCGAATCCTCGAATACCCAGATCATCAAGATAACCTTCAATGATGACAGCAGGACACAAATGAGGAATATACATTACCAATTCTAAACATTTCACTTCTTATCGAACAGATGAAACTATTATTATTATTATTATTATTATTATTATTATTATTATTATTATTATTATACCTAGGATAAGATGGTGAACTTGCATCTGATGAACAGACAAGGCAGCTTGCCAGATCCAAATGATGTGAACTAATTTAGCTATCTTTCTGAGGTGAATTTTTCCGGCTACATGGTTGATGAGTTCGGCCCTAGACAAACGAAACCATCATATAGTATTTGTATCAGTCGAATCTGATTGGTGAAATACTACAAATCAACCTCACTGCTTTCTAACTACTCAGTTTGTTTACTAGTAGTATATTTCGCATTTTTTTATGAGACTTTTGTTTCAGATATTGCACCTTATAACTAGCTAACAGGTGGTTTCCATAGGAAATTGTATGACTATCACAAATAAGGGGAATTGAAAAACTACTCAGCTATGACATAGTGATTATATTGCTTTACATTAAAAAAAAATAGCATGAAGGGGGGGAAGAAATGAAGATGCTTTTTTAATGCAAATTATAGTCATTTCTTCGCTTAGACATACATTATCAACTATCTGAAGATTATACTTCTCATTGCGTTTAGAGTCATTGTGATCTATAATACTCGTTTATACTGGGTAATGTTTCAAGGTAAAATGAAAATTTAGATAACAACCAGATTCCAACCTATGATCACCTATTTTCTTAGCTCAATTAGTAGAGTATCATAATGGAAACCCGGTGGTCAATGATTCGAATCCAGTTTCAGTTCAAATTTCCATTTCACCTTCAATTATCACTTAGTAACAATACTAGTTTACTAAACAAACCATGGATATTATCTCAGATAATCAAAATGATAATTTGATTTACTCAATGGATAAATTAATTATTTACTATCTAATTTTCGAATTAAGAATATTTTTTTAGTTGTATAATTAAGAAGATTGTGAAAATTAACTAACGACGCTAGAGGCATAGAACATTGAAATATTGAAACATTGAATCACATTTAGTCATAGTTTAAACGAATCATTATTATTGTACATACCTATACAGATACATACAAATCAGTTAGATGTATAGACAAAAAAACACGATTAGGTTTACAAAGCAAACAGTTATGAAATGAAACAAAGAAAATCTTGTTAAAGAATGAATAACAAAGGATATTTATTTATTTATTTGTAATTTATTTCTATTCTCCTCTTATTAAATATTCTGCTGGTCAGATTTATAGTACTGATTGTGATTTGAGTAGTATCATTAACGGTTACAGCGATAATATCAACAGTGATGCTAATTACTCGTCAAAGAAGAGAGATAATTTCTTGGAATGAACCCTAAGAATTGACCTTTAAGTTGATGGTTGCTGGTCCAAATCCTGTCTTCATCCAGGCTTTCATTTCACCTTCAGTCTGATAATGGTAATAATAATAATAATAATACCAATGAATGGATAACATGGTTTCCAAATTACCACAGAGAAGTAACATTCGAGGATGCGTTTTTTCCGGGTGTCGAAATTGTATAACTTTCCAGTAATCAATGATGGATAGTGGCTAGTAGTGGAATTCAGGATGCGCACTTGGCACTTTTTGGGACTCGTCAGCTGGATGTACCTGCTCCCTGGTGAGCGATGTTGTTCCAACTCGGATTCGGACTCGGAAGCGATCGCTTCTAACGCCAGCACGTTATCCACTACACCACCAAGCCACGATAGCCACTTCTTGTGTGACGGGCATAGTTTTCAGTACAATCGTTTCTATACCCTAAGACGCGTGTCCTGGATTCCACTACAAGCCATCAAGTAAACTAAAAAACATAATGAACATTCGAGCAGTATTTACGTATTGGAATAGCAGTCTATACGCCTACAGAGGTCGATCATTTCGATTCGACATAACAGCAGGAAATTACAAGTATCAAATAACAATTGACATGCTTTGCCGAAAATGTGATTTTTATGCCTCACTGGATAAGTGGATAACGCTTTGGTGTTTAAATTGATGGATACTGGGTTCGAGTCTCTGTGGGAACAGTATGACTTGTCAGGTTGCGGGTACATCCAGCTGACGAGTCTCTTTAACGAGACGAATCGCGTGCATCCTGAATCCCACTGCTGGTCACCAAATAAACTCCACTACTTAACACCTAATAATGGAAAAGGTTTGAATGGGAAACCTATCCCCATGAAAAAACGAAACGTGATTTTGAAGTGATCGAATTTTGAAAAGTCTTCGGAAATGACTTTTATCTTTGTCACAGTTTAATGGATATTGATCGGAGTCCCATACTAGGACGGAACAGCTGTCCAGTGCTCCCCGATTTTCAATGGTTCCTCAACTGATGTCAGTCCGCGATGAATACTTCCTCTAAATTAAAAAAAATCCCCGTTCATCTCAAAAATACATTATACATTTCTGTCAGATTGAATTTATGGTCTTAATGTGTTTATTTTTCAATTTTTTCAGCTTTTTAAAATTCCTGTATGCTAACGTGAATATGTGCACATACAGACACACAAATACGCACTACAGCCTACTAAGTCGACTGAAATCTGATTGGTTAACATTGATGTAGATTATTTAAACCTGACCAATGAGATTGTTTGTACACAGCTTTACATGTAGCCATGTTTTTTCCTTTAGAAATCGGAAAGCTTTGTGGTTAGCTAACAAAAGTAGCGATGGTGGTGGTGGTGATATGGTAGTAGCTTGTTGACAATCAGGTTAATGTGAAATTCTTTCAGTTTCATGTTGTGGTTGTTATTTTACGTTTTAAACAAGCTATGAAATTTACAGTGTAACATATTTAAAAGAGTGTATTGTCTTTACAGATTAGATTACTTAAACACATAAGATACAGTAAAGAATAATAATAAACGGAATATTCAAGATGTATACTTTTGATATGTATTAATGTAGTCAGTTTAGCTAACATTTTGCAGTATAGTACACTATAGATTATACTAATGATGCTCGTGTTTATTCACTGATAAAGAAATCGATTCAATGAGTAATAAATTTCTTCTACCATTTTCAAAATCAATCCATGTCTCCTATCTAAATGAAAGTGTATCATAAATAAAGTGAACTTATTGGATTTTATCTATATTGATTATTAACAATTACTATTCAGTAGAACAAACATTAAATTGAAGTTTTAAAAAAGAGAAGAAAAAAAACAGAAGAAAGAAAGAATGTTCCAGAAATTCAGCATGCTTTTATTTATTATATTGTGTTGTAATGAACTTTTCATTGGAAAATATTATCATTTATCAGGTATATTTGCTATGAATAATGTTAAACCAAGGTATACTACAAAACCATTCAATTTGTACACGTCAAGTATACAATCAGAAAAATCGATTAATCATGATATTCCCAATAATAATAATAATAATAATAATAATAATAATAATAATAATAATAATAATAATAATAATAATATACAAACAATGACAAAGTCAACAGTCTATGATGAACAACAATCACAATTGACAACATCAAAAAAGTATTTTCATCAAAATATATCTAATCGAAGTATTGATCATCATTTTAAACTGAATAATTATCAAGTTGGCGGTTATGGATTAGTATCATCAGGTGAGAAGCATATCAATTTACAATCATTATCGTATACAACAAAATCACCATTGAATATTGATAAAAATTTATCAATTCAAACAAATTCAATCATGTCAACAATTGATCATAATAATAATAATAATAATAATAATGAAAATAAGAAAGAAACATTCATATGGCCAAATTCTATAGGATCAGAAGAATATAGTAAAATTAATATGCGTATTATGGGTCAATCAATTGATCCTAGTGTAGTGAATCATTTACATCCAGATGTATCACCGCATAAAGTTAAAAAATTACGTAAAATTTTATCAAATAGTTTAGATAAAGATTGGACATCAGAAACTCCACCAAGAGTATTAAGACAACGTGGTATATCTAATTCATTACTAATAAATAATGAAGAAAATATCTCATTATTAGATATAAAATTAATAAAAGAGATAAAAGAATTAAATTTTACATTTCGTAATTCATATGGTGTATATTTTACATTAAATGATGAACAAATTCAACCATATAAATTTTGGTTATTAGAAAAAGCTACTTGTGAAATGGATTTTATATGGGAAGATTTAGGTCCATTATTTTGGCCAAGATGGATACGTAGAGGTGTATGCCTTAATCGTCCTGGTTATTCATGTTCATGGCCATCAGGTATGAAATGTCGACCATCAGGATCACGTGCATTACAATTATTACATTGGAAATGTGAAGATATTGGACAAATTAAATCAAGAGAATATGCTGCTGATCAACGTATACGTCGTCGTGTATCAATGAATACATTTCATTCAGGTTTTTATGAAATGGAACCTGTAATAGATAATAATAATAATGGGATTAAACAAAAACGTGATATATATGCACGTTTAAGTCTTAGAGATAATTCTCTACAATTATCTAATACTTATCGAAAATTACAAGCACGTAATCTTGGTAATTCATATTATAATATGAAAAATTCATGGACAAGTATAAAATCATCTGAATTACTACCATCATCATCATCATCTTCTTCGTCACCTTCATCGTCATCAATAAACATTGATATAAATACTAAAGATGAAAAACGTCGACGTCGAGCAAGACGTTTAATTAAACGATTAAGTATCACTGCCAATGGATATCATTGTTATTGGCAAGTACAAAAATATTTAATCAGTGATCGTTGCTCGTGTTCTTGTTCATAATTTTTTATTGAAAATAAATAAATAAGCTTATTCATTTGGGGAATTTAAAGTAATGCCAACATTTTTAAAATATAAACATTCATTCCTATACTAATAATAGTTAGTTAATTTATATTTATTACATCATACAAAAGTGTCGTATGCATTTGAATGACAACAAATAATCAATTTCTACAATCTTTTTAACAAAAAAAATCAATATACTTAGTATTATTTATTGTCAATTATTATTCTCAGTATATACTACCTCATATATTCTATAATAAGTAAGTATTTCAATTCATAATATCCCATATAATGAATCAAGATTATGTTTGTTTAAATAGACCATGGATTTTAACTTCGATTGAACATTGAACAGTAATGATCTTGTGCATGCAGGTTTTCTTCTCTTCTGAACAGTTAAACCAATAAATAAAAAGTATTCTATATACTTTTATTTTGATGTAGAAACTAAAAAATATTAATCGTAGTCTTGATTGAATTTTCACCTTCTTAAACAAAAGGAAGAAACAGAAATCCCGGTAATATTATTACAAAAAAACAACTGCATATAACCTTAAAATGATGTGTTTTTTGCGTACAAAAGTTATCCATTAACTCAAGATAAATACTAATGACAATATGTACAGTAGTGTGAGATAATTGTTCAAATCATTTTCAGGGGAAATGAACTACCAAAAATCTGCATGTTCATTGCTTCATCTCATTGTTAAAATTCGCTGTATGCATAAAAAAATATTCTACTTATTGTCTTTTCAACTCTACTAATCTCATATATATATATATATATTGATTATAAAAATTTGAAATTTAAATTGTCTGCACATTTGATGCATGAGAATATGTATATATAACATCCGAGCAATTGCGTTTATAAAAATCAATAGTGATGACTCATTGACAGTAACCTTGAACGCATATCACTTATTCCAAGGTTATTTCAGTAGGACGAATGACCTTCAGTTTTTTTTAAATTGAGCATTACAATGATATCTTATTTGACAGTGAAACAATTTATAGTCAGGATAAAAGTTAAGACGATATCTTAAATTAGTATAAAATTCATTATCCTTAAAGTATTATTATTTTGTGTTATCGATCCTTATTATCAAAGTTAAGAGATTAGATAATTCAGGCTTCATAACTTGAGCACTGTGATAGAGTATTATATAATGGATGATATTACCAGCACAATTTATTGTTCATATTCATACGATTATCAAAATCTCATTTTTTAGTCTAACACTTCAATCATTTATCGTATTAACAGTAAAATTTTCCAGATATCTCCAATATGTGAGGAATCAGTCCTGTTACGCTTGCTAGGTTGGTTGGTTAATTCAATGCATAGCGATTCTGTCATCCATCTCTCCCCCTCGCCACCAACATTAACACTCCTTACCAGCCTTAAAAGAGATTACGGAGTGAATTTATCCATAAGTAGTGTCTCTCTCATGTGTTTCAGTTCCTTATTTAGGTTTTCTGCTTTATTAGTCAAACTGATAGACCGATCACTTGAACAACCAGAACAAGCTGGATGGTTGGTACATACACAATGTGTACTGACACTAAAAACACCAAAAGAAAAGAAGGAAAAACTTAAAAAGAGGAGAAATATTGGCTCTGAGAAATTCAAATAAATGTCAAATCTGACAAAAACACCTTGACAGTAGTTATTGGATAAGGTAGATTATTTAAAAAAGGTCAATGTGAGCATATCTAATATGCTGAATGAACCTATCTCTGGGTGAGTCTCAGTGGTTTAATTCAATGCCTAAAAGTAATAATCCTAATAGAATATATGGTACCATTAAGGTTCATATGATAGATTATCTTGGGCAAATAGTTGACTTTAGAAACAAACCAACATACGAGTTATGTAAATATTTAGCCGCAGTACTCTGCTCTGGTAGAAATCGCTCAAAATCTAAGCTCACAAAGTCACCTGAATTGAAGTACAGATTAAGAAATATACAATTAGAGAAGGGAGAAACGATGGTCAGTTCTGATGGGACAAGTCTCTGTGTAAACATATGGCCTTTTTGAGGCAGTTTGAAATGAACTTACAACTGACTATGAACTCAGTAACAGAAGTAACCTTTTTATTGAGATCTCCGATATCCTCTATCATAGCAGATATATTTATGGATAGTTGAGAACAAATAAAATTAAAAGCATTCCAACCAACCCCAAAAGTATGGTGGTGGTATGTAAATGACACATTTACTGTGTTGAAATTGGAGTTGAATACAGAGAAGAACGAATTTGTCATCATCCTCTGAAGACAGCAGTGGACTGTTTTGTCCAATATTCTAGGTAGTAGGTCTAAAAGTTATTTCATTCAATATATGATCACCTCGAAAGTGTCGGAGTTGACTGGGTAGTTATGAATTCACATTCCAGCCGCCTAACTTTAAACATGAAACATCCTGATCAGTCTAAGGGAATCTGTAATCACATGGTAACAGTTCTGCAGTCCAAATCAGTTAAGTATAATCAACACTAGAATAGTTCATTGATAACACCTTTATGACACTGTGTGAAACGGGTTCGAATTTTTGTCAGGTAACATCGATTTCATCGAGGTTAAAGCTACGTCTTAGTAACAAGCATTGACAAGCATCAATCTTAGGTCAAGTAGAGCTTGCTTTCGAATGCCTTCAGCCATATGACAATAGTCAACGGGCTGCTGAGTCTGCTAGCTTATTGTCCACATTACACAATGGTTGGTAAAGTTCAGTCAACACTACAAACTAAACAATATGAAATTGATTGCTCTCCAGTAATGAATCACTTCATAGCTAACGTGTGATGAAAGCTGGTAGTATTCAAATATCAACCAATTATCGTCTATCGAATAAGTACCACTCATCTCTGTTTATCATTTTGTAAATAAAGGCTAAAATGCATTATTTTTCTTGATGACACTATATGTGATGACGTCGTGTTGGGAGAAGAGGTTCAATGGAGTTAACTAATGAATAACCTTGAAGTTGAATGTCCTAGTCATTAATATAGTGGTAAAACTTGGGCACTGTGGTAGATTGTAATTCCATTTTAGTCTATTTATTAGAAATGTGTTGCACAGTGAGAGAACAGTATCATTTACTGGATAACGTTTCAGACACAATTTATTGTCGATATTCATATCAGGTAAATAACTCTATATCTCCACAACTTTGAGACACAGTTCATATGGTCCTAATTCCCTCGTCTTCTTTGTGATGACAAGGGTAGTAGAATTTTCCATATATCTGGGACAGGTTCAAAATCATTTCTGTTGCATGTTGTTAGTGTTGACGAGATAAACAAAGATTCGGTTAACAATCTCTCCCTTCATCCACCCAACTAAGTTAGTTGTTAACTCTGTCACTCTATCCTACCCTACTGTGTGATTGTGTGTTATTGCGTGTAGAGCTATAGCCGGGCTTTTCTCTGAATTTCTTATCTTATTAGGATCTACTAATCTTGATTTAGCCATACTATTGTGCTGTGTTATTCTAATCGGCCCTGGTCAACTATCTTGGCCTATGTACACATTTGACATGGCAATCATTGCAAGGGATTATTTTGCTTCATTGCATCGATAGGATCTTTTAACCTACAAAGCTTTCTTGCAAGAGAGTTTGTTAGTTTAAATAGCACTATAATCCCAGCCAGCTTTATTGAGGACTCTTCGTACTACTCCTGAGTTGCCTTCCTTGTATGGTGACACAGCGGAGACTTTAAATCCTTTCTCAATCCTGTCACCATTACTACTATTGGTAGTAGAATTATTACTAATTACACTCCTATGACTACTAATATGGCTAATATGTTTGTTTCAATTTCTTATTAATTTAATGATCAATGTTGGTGGGTAGCTATTGAGATACAAGGTATTCTGGTCTACTAGTAAGCTTTATCACCCTATCACTAAGGCATTTAACTAAACCTACTTTAACTGAAATGGGGTGGGAAGATTTGAAGTCCAATTTGTGATTCGAATGGAAGGGTTTCCTATAGACGCTGATCTTCCTTCCTATGTCCGTTTAATCTTGCAATGCAATATGGCTAGTTCACGTTCATCATTTTCGAAGTCACCGGTAAATTGGATTGCTTTGCTTACTGAATGTATATGTGCCAAGAACCTGTTGATGTGTTCGGATTTTATTACCATAAACGTATCATCTACATATCGGAAGCATATCCTTAAAGTAAGACTAAATGTTTAAAGGGTTATCTGTTCCCAACTATCCATAAATATGTCTGCGACGATAGGGGATATTGGTGACGCCATTGAAACACCTTCAGTTTGTTCATATATTTTATTTTGAAACTTAAAAACTGTAGATGTTAGGCACAGTCGTACTCCTACCATGATTTCCTTGGTTGGCATCTTAGATGCGTAAGCTCATTGTCATCCTTAAGCCTATTTCTAACTGCCTCTAGAACTATGTCCATAGGTATATATTCGTTTGTTATATGAAAACTGGTCATGTCAGGATTCCAGTTAGATAACCTAGAAGTCTAGATAACAAGTTTTACAGATGTCATTATAGCAAAAAAACTCAATAATCGTTGTTGAAATATTCAACTGACTTGCCGTGAAATGTGTTTGAAGAAATAAACTCTTCTAAGAGATGAATGAAAATGGCTGAGTATATTCGAAAAATCAAACAGAAACATAGTGGAAAACAAAAATGATGCAATATTGATGTAGTTAGATGTCGGTTTCGCATTCAGCAATCTTTATAGTACTCAGAAATATTGTAGTGGGCGTTGCTGATAACAATGGATATAAGTAGTATATATATTGAGGGGGTGGCAGGAATCATAGGGAATTATCAGCAATGGGTAAGGTTTCTGCCAAGAACAACGCAAGGGATAACGCAGGCGTATTACATTGGATGCTGCTGATAAGAATGTATGAAGAGCAAATCAAGAGATAACAGAAAAGGAAACGAAGCCTGCGATACCTAGTGTATGTCCCCCAACCGTGTGGACCTTTAGGGCAC